ATAATTTACTTGGTACTAAATGAATGCTACCTTGCATTTTTCTTACTATATGTTTATATGTCTTATTTCTATACATGGATAATAATCTTCTGAAGAACAGTACCATGAGTTTTCTATGTATCTCTTTCAGCAAAACATATAGCATAATTTAGAATAGATGTTCACATAATGATTTCATAGATGTTCAATAAATTATTTTTATTTAAAAAAATATCTTATTGATATTGATTGAGGAAGGGAGAGGGAAAAAGAGAGAGAAACATCAATGCGGAGAGAGAATTATTGATCAGCCACCTCCTGCACAATCAGGGATCAAGCCTGCAACCCAAGCATATGCCCTGACAGGGAAACGAACCTTGACCTCCTGGTTCATAGGTCTGCGCTCAACCACCGAACCAACATGGCTGGGCCCAATAAATTATTTGCTGAATAACTATCTTGCCAATTCACTCAGGTAGTTCATGTGATGTTACCTTTGTGAACCATTTTATAATACCAAATAAATATAGTTTGTACCATAAATGCATTCATTGTTATAATCTGGTTATCATTATTATATTCCTAATAACTTTATTTTGTAGAAGCTTAAGTGAAAATGGTACGTGAAACAAGGAGGAATTCTAAAATTCAAGAGCGTGAGCAGAAATCTCGAGTTGATTGGAAGCGGACTAAAAGAAATAGTTTCTCACAGTTATTGGATAGTGATGAAGACCTTGAGAGTGAAGACCTTGAGAGTGAGGAAGAGAGTGATGAAGAGCGTGATAGTGATGAAAGTATTGACAGTGATGAGGAGCTTGCTAGTAACAAAGGGCTTGAAACTAATAAAAAGCCAGAAGATGAAAGTGAGCTTAAGTTAGTTACAGTTGAAAGTGAAGGCAACAACTGTGAGCATCTCATTGACACTGGCAACAGTTCAACAAATGAAGGAGAAAATGACAAAGGCAATCAGAGCAGTCCTATTGATCTACCAGACCAGGAAAAGCATTCAAGTCCAGAGGATGCTGATCTCAGCAAGCACGCTGAACAGATAACAGAGGAGGATTTAGAAGAAGAAAACGTACAGCGGGGGAAGAGAAGAAGAACCTCGGTGATAAGTGACAGCGATGAGAGTGGTGACAGCGACGTCCTAATGAGGAGAGTAGGTGATAAACGTCCGCGTAGGGTGGTTGAAGATGAATGTTCTTCAGCGGAGATGGAGCAGATTCAGCCTGAGAAAACTTCCGCTGCAAGAAAGCGAGAACAACTCCAGAAGCTGAAAGAACTCTCAAAACAAAGATCTCATCAGAGACGTAATAGTAGTAGAGATTTTGAGGTGTGTTTTATTTTATTGGTTTTGTTACTGTTTTTAAGTTTTTACTTAAAAGTATTTACTTTTTATAAAAATGAAAGGGCCAAGTCTGTTCTATTTCTCTATAATTCTAGAATTTATTTTTAATAAAGTATCCATGAACGTGTTTAATTGAAATACTGTATCTAATATATTGTTTTATCATGAGCTTCAGTCCATCTTTCTTGTAATATTGGAAGACTGTTTTATATGGTATTTCCTGTTTTTATCTTCTTATAATCTTAATGTCTATTTTAAACATTTTACACACATGATTTTCAAATTTCAACATTTAACATAATTTTTTAATCTTAAAATATGAAATTAATTTCTATGCATCATTTGGGTTTGGGATTTAACCTTTTAATGTCATATCCATATAATTTACTGAAGAAATATTTTTTAATTTAGGACTCTGAAAGGGAATCCTGCCCAATCAGTGATGAAAATGATGAAGATGAGGAGAATGACGAAGATGAAGAGGAGGAGGTTGATGAATCTGATGAAGATGGAGACAATTACATTATTGATGACTTTGTAGTACCAGATGAGGAGGAGGATGAGGAGAATGAAAGCCAGCGAGGAGAACAATTGGCTACATCACAACTGAAATCTAATTCACTTTGTAAGTTAAATCTCAAGAAAATGTTTTATGGTTATTCTAATCATGATATTATATCAGGTATGAGATCAGCCTGTTACTGTCATGTTGTAAATTGATTAGGAACTGTGACTTCATTTTCTGAACTTTAATTTGTTTGATAATATTTTACCCTAGTGGTTTCAGGAACCGTTTATACTCTTAAAAATTATTGAGGACCCCAAAGAGCTTTTGTTTTTGTGGGTTATAACTATCAGCATTTACTATTGTAGAAATACAAAACAGAAGTTTAAAACATTTATTTTTAAAAATGTATTTTATTGATTTTTTACAGAGAGGAAGGGAGAGGGACAGAGTTAGAAACATCGATGAGAGAGAAACACCAATCAGCTGCCCCCTGCACACTCCCCACTGGGGATGTGCCCGCAACCAAGGTACATGCCCTTGACCAGAATCGAACCTAGGACCCTTGAGTCCGCAGGCCAACACTCCATCCACCGAGCCAAACCAGTCAGGGCTAAAACATTTATTTATTAGTTCACTTAAAAATAACATTAATAAACTTATTAAACGTAAACAACATTTTTTATGAAAAATAACTGTTTTTCTCCCAAAATGAGAATGACAATGTTTTACTTTTTAAAAAATCCTCACCCACATCTCCTTACAATGGACCATGACACATCCGGTCCAAGAGACACAGGGGCAGAGAGCTGTGTTAGCCTTTACTCGACTGCCTCCCACTTCCTGGGATATGTTTCATCCACAAACATTCCTTAGTCTTGGGAGCTGGGATCCAGAGAGGAATAAAGGCATGGTCCCCACTTTTGAGGAACTCAGACTGCTGGAATTGATGAGCACACAAGTAATCAGTATTTCAAAATAAGCAGGTGTTACAAAAAATGAGATGAGTGATGTCTTAGTGTGGTAAAACTTAGACTGGGGGGCTTATAACAACAGGAAGTTATTTCTCATACATCTGGGATCAGGGTGCCAGCATGGTTGGGGAAGGGCCATCTTTTGGGGTGCAGACTTCTCATTATTTCCTCACATGGTGGAAGAGGCAAGGAAGTTTTCTTGGGCATTGTTTATAAAGGCATTAATCTCATTCATTAGAGTTCTGCCTTCATGGCCCAATCGCCTCCCAAAGGCCCCACCTTCTAACACTATCACATGAGGCATGAGGATCATCATTGAATTTGCAGGGGACACAGACATTCTGACACTGCAAGGGGACGTTTGTGCTAGAACATGAAGAACAAATAGGTATTTCCCTGATGATTTCAAGGGAAGACAATTCAGATGAGGTGAATATGTACGAAGACGTAACATTGTGAAAGATCACGGTATTTACCAGTTACATGGGAAAGGTCCACTGGGCTGCAGCGGGGACCTGGTGGGGGGTAGGCACAGAGTGGTCCACCAGGTGTTGGGTCTAGGCATGTGCCCTGACCTGACCAGGAATCAAACCTCGCATTGTGACTTCCTGTTTCATAGATCGATGCTCAGCCACTGAGCCATGCTGGCTGGGCAGGATATGTTTATTGATTTGAGAGAAAGAGAAACTTCCATTGGCTGCTCCCCCCTCTTCCACCCACCATATGCCCTGACTGCAACCCATGCATGTGCCCAACGGAGCATCAAACCTGCCATCTTTTTGGTGTACGGAATGATGCTCCAACCAACTGAACCACCCGGCTGTAGCATTGTTTTACATTTTAATAAATGTATTTCATGGCCAGCTTAATAGGAGGCAAGGCAGTTGGGGCCTTATGTCTGGTTTTGCATTCAGTCTGTTGTGATGTATTTTGTTGAAATAGATGAAGACAATCTTGCTTCACACAAATAGCTGGAAAAGGGAGGCGTATTTTCAAAGTAATTGTGTATATTCTCATTGGACACAACATACAACTTAGACAAGTCATAGCATCTTAAAGAATAGTTGTAATATGAAATCTGAAATCATATAAGTGAAATTTTAGTACGTATTTACATTACAATGTATTGGTCCATCTTGCACTTTGAATCGATCTTATTTTACCCATGCATGATTTTGTAACATCATGCATTGGTCATCTGGAAAATATTGGTTCACTAGGTTTTACAAATCTTCTAAATATTGATACATTTCATGATACAGTGTTTTTAATATTTGGTATCACCACCAGTCTTATCAGAAAATTCTTTAGGTTGGGGAAGCTGTCAAGTTCATAGTAACAGATACAAATTTTTCAAAATTCTACTTTCTACTTAAAAGTTTATATATCTTTTTGTCTTTGGCAACAAAAACGTGAGTTCTTTGTTCTTTTTTGAGAAAGTATTTGACAAATGCCGGCATAACCATAGTTCGTCAGTCTTTCTTTCAAGTAAACATGGTGCATCGTGATAGTTTCGGCTTTTTAAGCTCCCAACTCAGTTTTTTCTCAAAGTATGATTGATCGTACTTTGATATGCAGCACAACTACTTTATGCATTGTTACGGCCAAAGTCAGTCCCTGGTCGCAGAACTCAGTCCCTGGTCGGGCACCACTTGTTACGGACAAAGGTGACCCTGAGTGGGGGGTGAAAGGATTGAGAAAAGACAGACAAGAGAATGAAAGCTGGGTCTCGGTGGGACGCTGCTCCCTGGTGAGGAGACAGCGCCGGTGCCCACAAGCCCTGTCTTTATTTTATAGCTGATGCCACGAGGCAAAGGAGGGGCGAGATCACGTTGTTTACAGCATTCTCGTGAGTCTCAACCTCACTCAACTACATGCACCTGAACTCTAGCACAAGGCACGTGGGGCCACGTGTTTGGACCATAGGTTCAAGCTTACAACTATAGCTGTTGGCTATAGTTGTGTTGGGAGGGCCCTGCCCTCCAGCTGGGACTTCCACGTGGCAATGAGAGGACCCTGTCCTTTCATTAGTCCAAGGCTTGAACCTGGCCAAAACACTGTAGCCGCGCCCCACAATGCATACATCCCATTTCATCACATTAAATGCTCAAAAGGTGGATACTCAAGACTTAATAAAATTAATAATGCTTTACTGCTTTGTCAAGGACATTCTTAAGTGAAAGTAGCTTGGTTACTGAGTGCATAGCAGTGATGACTAGTAGTTTGGTGCTGCCTCCATGCTAAGGGGCCAGTTGCCTTACCCATAGTTACTTTTGCACCATCATTAAAAATCTCAACAAGTAAAGACAGCAAGTGATTATCTTAGTATTACTGCTTTGACCTCACAGATCACAAATGGACTTGGGGATATACAGGGGTCTACAGGACTTGAAGCATCGCTCAGTGAAACCTATCAGCAATAGGGAAGTAGAAGCTTTCATATAGTTAATGAAAATATAAATAATAGGACCCTGAATGTTTAGGGTATCTTTAAATATGTATTATTCTGATCCCTATAATGGCATACGTGAATTCAAACAGGCTGTTGGGGGTGCATTTTTTCCTTAATTTTTTATAAGGGAAAAAAACTAAGTGTCTTATAATTCAATTTAATCACTTGATTTGTAATGAAATAGGTTGAGCTGTACATCACATTTAAAGAACTTTAGCAGTTACAGAACTGTCAGTGATGGGCATTTATGTATTGAAAGTGAATGACTATTGTACTTAGATCAATAAGCATTGGGTTCACTTGCCACCTCAATATTTGAACATCAGGGAAACTCAATTAGAGGGTATCCCATCTTTCTGGATTATAATATCTAAAATGTGATAGAACATTTGCTGAGAGATACCCACCCATTCCCACACCTGCTAATTAATGAAAATAAAAGTCCAGCATGTAGAACTATTTTAACTTCCTTCTCCATTCTACACCTTTGTGCTTGCTTTTGTTTTTTTAAGAGCCATTTTAGATTTACTGGGAAGTTGAGTGGAAAGTAAAGAGAGTTCCTGTACAACCCCTCACACACAACATCAGTGTTATTAACCTCTTGCATTGGTACATCTGGTATGATGAGCCAATATTGATGGAGTATTATGAACTGTAGTTCACAGTTTACCTCGGGGCTCACTGTTTGTGTTGTACATCCTATGGATTGTTTGGTATTTTTAAAAATGTATTGTTCAGTTATAGTTGACATACAATATTACATTAGTTTCAAGTGTACAATGTAATGATTAGACATTTTTATAACTTATGAAGTGGTCACTATGATAAGTCTGGTACCCACCTGGCACCATATACATAGTTACTACATTATTATTGACTATTTTTCCTATGTTATACTTTACACCCCTGTAATTATTTTGTAATGGAAAATTTGTACTTCTTAATCCCTTTCACCTTTTTCTCTCATCTCTATACCTCCTTCCATATGGCAACCATCAGTTTGTTCTCTGTATCTGTTTGTTTCTTTTGTTTGTTCATTTATTTATTTAGATTCCATATATAAGTGAAATCATACATATTAGTTTTTCTGTGTCTGACTTACTTCACTTAGCATAATACCCTCTCGGTTCCTCCATGTTGTCACAAATGACATTTCATTCCTTTTTTATGGCTGAGTAGTACATTCTGTGGATTTTGACAAATGTATAGTGACATTACATATATGCATGATTACAGTATCATACAGAATACTTTCACTATCCTAAAAATCCCTGTGTTCCCTCACTCCCCTGAGCCCCGGACAACCACTGATTTTTTTTACATAGTTTTATTTTTGGCAGAATGTTTTATAGTTGGGATCACACAGCATGTAGCCTTTCAGATGGGCTGCTTTTACTTAATAATATGCATTAAAGTTTCCTCCATGTCTCAGTGTGGCATGATAGCACATTTCACTGAAAATTCCATTGTAATAATGTACCACAGTTTATCCATTCACCTGTTGATGGGCACATTGTTTCCAAGTGTTGGCAATTGTGAATAAAGCTGCTATAAACATCGTGTGTAGATATTTCTATGGATGTACATTTTCAACTCATTTGCTAGGTAAATACCAAGGAGCTCTGAGCTTGCTTTTACTACTGAGCACCTCTACATCAGAGGGGGATGTGATCCATTTTTCATGCAATACATTT